ATAAAAGGATGTTGGGCTTTTCTCAGATGCTTTTTCTGTATTTCATTTTGTTAATGCAGTATATAATATTGACTGATTTTTTTTGTACATTGGACCAACATTGCATTTCTGGCATAGTTTATTACTTGGCTATAGTGTATACTTTTTGTGTATATTGCTGGATTCTGTTTGCTGGTGTTTTATTGAGGATTTTTTCATCTGTATTGATAAGGGATATTGGTCTATAGTTTTCTTTTGATGTCTTTGTTTTATAGTTTCAGGGTAATACTGGATTCCTAGGATACATTGGAAAGGGTTCTCTCATATTATTTGGAAGAATTTGTAAAGGATTGGGGCTTCTTCTTTAAATGTACCAGGAAAATCATGTACTCCTGGGTTTATCCTTGTGGGCATTTTTTTTTATTATTGATTCAATCTTCTTGTTATAGATACATTCAGATTTCTGTCTCATCAGTTTCAGTAGTTTGTGCTTTCTGGGATTTTCGTCCATTTCCTCTATGTTATCTAATTTGTTAATAGATCATTTTTATAGTATTCCCTTATAATGCTTTTAATAAGGTCATTGGTAATATCCTCTTTTTTATTTCTAATTTTAGTAATTTGGGTCTTCTCTCTTTTTCTTGGTCAGTCTAGCTAGTTTTGTCTACCAAGACCTCAGACAGCTACAGTGTTCAACAACTGCCTCTGACTATTGTCAGCAAATACCTCCAGTGGGGAAAAGGCTGTGTATAATAGATGAGCTCCAGGTCAGATCAAATAAAGAAAGCCTTGTCAGTGGGGTCTTCTAGAGAGCTACCAGACAGGTAAAATGGTGACTTTCTCCAGGAGTAGGGCTTTGGAGGATATCCAGCCTAATTCTGCCCTCCCCACTGGTTGTCAGCCTGCTGATTTTCACCATAAATGTGGACTGCTGCTTTTCAAGGCTGTTGTGGAGTTCTGGGGACAGTGGAAATAGGGCAAGTTAAAACGTTGTGTAAAGTTTAGCTTCTTATCGAAATTTCACTGCTATTCTTGAATAAATGCTTTCTGGACTGCTACAAGCCTTTTGTTAATTTCCATATTTCTGAAAAGTTGGCTTTAAAAATCTTTTCCCTATTAACTGTTTGGTTACCATTACATATAGTTTGTAAACAAATGATAGAATAATGCATGGTAAGTATCTTTAGTTGTGAAATTTCAAAATAGTGAATTGCTGCCTTAGTAAACCATCCAAAAATGATTAGTTTGTGGTTTATTTTTGATATCATTATTAACTGATTTGAAAAATTAAAACCTCATGGGTTTTAACTTGTGTTCTTTTCAATGAGAAATGGTATTTAGAGATCACAATCTGTATCCAGATGTGCCCATTGCTACAACAATATTGTTACTTTAGGTATTTTCAGTGGGCAGATATGTAAATTTTTTTAGAAAGAGAAATTTTGAACTTTTTAACCCATGAATTCATACTATTTCCTATTCATAGGATTACAGGATCTTTACTTATCTTTAGACTTCTTTCATCTTACACTGAAATTCTCAATTGAAGTTAACAATGATTTCTTCATGTCAGAACATACACAAGTAACTTCAAAATAATATCACTACTACAGATAAGACTATTGTTGTCCAGTGAGGTCAGGAGAGCAATACATAAATGAAAGATGCCACAATCCACTTATCCATATGTATTCATAGTAAATGAAATAATTATCTCAAAGAAGTATCTGCTCTCCAATTGCAGCATTGTTTACTATAACCAAGGTGTGGAGACAACCTAAGATTCCATTAATGGATAAATGGATAAAGATGTGGTTTGTGTACACACACACAGGAATATTACTTAGCTTTAAAAAAAGGAAGTCCTGTCATTTTTGAAATGTGGATGAACTTGGAGGGTATTATTATACTGAGTGAAATAAGCCAGATGGAAAAAGACAAATACTAATGGTATCAATTATCCATGGAGTCAAAAACAAACAAAAATCAAACTCATTGAAACAGAGTAGCATAGTAGTTGTGAGAGTCTAGGGCCTGAGGGAAACAGAGATTGGTAAAAGGATATATATAATCTTTCATTATAAAATCTGAGGCTCTAATGTATAACATGGTGACTATGGTTGATAACACCTTATGGTATAACTGAAATTTGCTAAAAGGGTCATACTTAAATGTTCTTTGCAAGAAAAAAAAAAGATAAATTTGTGAGGTGATAGCTATGTTAACTAACTTGATGGGAGAATCCTTTCATAATACATGCTTATATCAAATCATTACATTGAATGCTTTAAATATGTACAATTTTATTTTTCAATTATACCTCAGTACATCTAGGAAAAAAATACCTACTGAATATAGTTTTCCTTGTGGCTTGTTTTATCTTGTTTTTAATTTTTTATTTCTTTGCTTGGTTGCCTATTTATTGCCCTTAGGATAGAACTGACTTGGTCTATAAAGTCACAGTACTGTATTTTAGCCAAAAACTAGAAAGCACTCAAAGGCCCATCTGTGTTGGAATGGTTAATTTGTGGCATATTTATACAATTGAAAACTGTATGCATGTAAACATAGTAAAACTACATGTAATAATATGGTTGCAACATCCAAAAAATATTAAAGAAAAGATACAAATAAGCTTATACTAAATAATTGCATGTACATGTGTATGTTATGTATGTATGTATGTGTATAATATACATACACACATTTCTGCCTATTTTTATACTACAGTATAAAATATATAGCATACTACATGTAGTGTCAGTTCAGTTCAGTCACTCAGTCGTGTCTGACTCTTTGTGACTCCATGGGCTGCAGCACTCCAGGCTTCCCTGTCCATCACCAACTCCCGGAGCTTGCTCAAACTCATGTCCATCGAGTCAGTAATGCCATCCAACCATCTCATCCTCTGTCATCCCCTTCTCCTCCTGCCTTCAATCTTTCCCAGCATCAGGGTCTTTTCAAATGAGTCAGGTGGCCAAAGTATTGGAGTTTCAGCTTCAGCGTCAGTCCTTCCAATGAATATTCAGGACTGATTTCCTTTAGGATGGACTGGTTGGATCTCCTTGCAGTCCAAGGGACTCTCAAGAGTCTTCTCCAGCACCACACTTCAAAAGCATCAATTCTTCAATGATCAGGTTTCTTTATGGTCCAACTCTCACATCCATGTATGACTACTGGAAAAACCATAGCTTTGACTAGATGGACCTTTGTTAGCAAATTAATGTCTCTGCTTTTTCATATGCTGTCTAGGTTGGTCATAGCTTTTCTTCTAAGGAGCAAACATCTTTTAATTTCATGGCTGCAGTCACCATCTGCAGTGATTTTGGAGCCCACAAAAATAAAGTCTGTCACTGTTTCCATTGTTTCCCCATCTATTTGCCAGGAAGTGATGGGACGGGATGCCATGATCTTAGTTTCTGAACGTTGAGTTTTAAGCCAACTTTTTCACTCTCCTCTTTCACTTTCATCAAGAGGCCTTTTAGTTCTTCTTCACTTTCTGCCATAAGGGTGGTGTCATCTGCATATCTGAGATTATTGATATTTCTCCCAGGAATCTTGATTCCAGCTTGTGCTTTATCCAGCCTGTCATTTTGCATGATGTACTCTGCATATAAGTTAAATAAGCAGGGTGACAATATACTACCTTTACGGACTCCTTTCCCCATTTGGAACCAGTCTGTTGTTCATGGTCAGTTATAACTGTTGCTTCTTGACCTGCATACAGATTTCTCAGGAGGCAGGTCAGGTGGTCTGGTATTCCCATCTCTAAGAATTTTCCACAGTTTGTTGTGATCCACACCATCAAAGGCTTTGGTGTAGTCAATAAAGCAGAAGTAGATGTTTTTCTGGAACTCTGTTGCCTTTTCGATGTTCTAACAGATATTGGCAATTTGATCTCTGGTTCCTCTGCCTTTTCTAATTTCTGGTTCCTCTGCCTTTTCTAATTTCTGGTTCCTCTGCCTTTTCTTTACATGTAGTGTAAAAATAGTCAAAACTATATATGTGTGTGTGTGTTTATAAATGTATGTGTGATCTATACTATACATAGTATGAAAATGGGCAAAACTATATATATATATATATACACACACACACTTTTTCACTTTTATGTCTAACTTTCACATACATATACACACGCATACACACTATATTCAGTAGGTTCACAGTATGTATTGTATAAAGAGCTTCCCTAGTGCCTCAGATGGTAGAGAACCCACTGGCAGTGCAGGAGATCTGGGTTTGATCCCTGGGTCGGGAAGATCCCCTGGGGAAGGGAGTGGCAACCCTCTCCAGTATTTTTGCCTGGAGAATTCCATGGGAAAAGGATACTGGCAGGCCGCAGTCCATGGAATCACAAAGATTTGGACACAATTGAGTGACTATGCACAGTGGACACGGTATAGATACAGTATAAAGGGTTTCCCTCGTGGTTCAGTGGTAAAGAATTTGCCTGCCAATGCGGGAGATGCAGATTCCATCCCTGCATCAGGAAGATCCCCTGGAGAAGGAAATGGCGACCCACTCCAGTATTCTTACCTGGAGAATCTCATGGGCAGAGGAGCCTGGCGGCCAACAGTCCATGGAATCGCAAAGAGTCAGACATGCCTGAGTGTATGGGCACAGGCACACAGACAGTGTAAAAACAGGCAAGACTAATCTGTGATAGAAGTTCCTGTTAGGAGGACAGCGCCTGAAAGGATGGGGTTTTGAAAGTGCAAGTGTATGTTTTGTTTCTTAGTTTAAGTGCCACATGGGTATGTTCCATTTGTGAGTGATTGCAAACTATAAAATCATGTGTACTTTTCTATGGTTTATACTACAATAAAATGTTTGTTTAAATGGTCTTTTTGAGTCAATTGAAATAGTTCTTTTCTCATTTGATTGTGGCACAGCTTAATATAAAGTTAGACTTTTAAAATTAATTTGCACCCATTTTGGAATGTAGATACCCAGAATATGAGACTGATGGCCCAGACAGTGCTACCCATAGTCATGAACTTGGTTCTTTGATTTCTCAGGAGAACCTGTGCCTGTCAGGGGCTGGACCCAGAGACCTGTGGTGCCTCGTTTTCTTTTGGTTGTTCATGGAGCATGTACTACAATGGATGTAAGTTTGCCAGAAGCAAGATCCCAAGAAAATTTAAGCTGCTTGGGGATGACCCAAAAGAGGTTTGTTTACTTCCTGATGTATAATCTGTTTATTTTTCATGGAGAATTGATGAACACAGATGAAATGAATAATATGATATACTCTGTTAAACTCTCATTATCAGAGAGAATTTCATCTCAAAGATTGATCAATAAAATTTTGGCTAAACTGTAGACACACAAAATAACATTTTATAAAATTCTGCGTGATAACAACCATGTGATACCAAAGTAATAGGGTTTGAGCAACACAAACTCTTTATGCTTATGGCTTTTTATTCTTTGTCTTTTATGTTAATTCCAGAGTTTTACACAGCTGTCATATCCATATGAAAATTATTAATACTTCACTGTTAAAACTTTCATCTTTTAAACCTGAATTATAGAAGCCATGTTTGTGACTGCCACATTCATAAAAGACCATTTCTATTCACATTTTCAGCCCATGAGATATGATGGTTTAATGCTACTATAATAACTGCATTCAAGTAACTGAAACATATTTAGATTTTAATATAAAAATGTAGTTGAAATAAATGAACTCTGATTTCTCATTGACATCACTGGATTTGTCCTTTCTCTAGACTATCAATTTCTCGAAATATAACTTGTAAACTGGTATCAAATTTAACAACTTTTGGGTAGCTTGTGTTCTAGGGTATGTTAATTGACTAATTGGAAAACTTCAGTATGTTTAGTATTAAATATGATCAAATTTTTAGTGAATCTGTACACAGTATAGTTTTCTTTTAAATTTTAGATGCAATTGAAATAGATATGCATATTATTGATGTAATAATTTTTACATGTCCCTCTAATTGAAAAATTTGTTATCTCTATTATTTGTAATTATAATAGTAAGTGGAAATTTAATAAAGTGCAAAAGCTCTTCAAGTCATGATATAATTTTTTTCATAGAATCATAATATTTTAATAAGCTGTTATTAATGTGCTAGAGTCCTCTTTTCATAAAGAAAAACACCTAACTATTTAATAAACCTAATGAATAGCAAATTTGCATGCTGCCTTCCACTTTAATTTTTCACACTGGAGAGCTTTTTCACCACTACTTCATAAATATTTATTCCTGTGTTTCATGGGAACCAAATCCAGGGGATGGCTAGTAACATCCTCTGTCTGTTAGATAGGAGGGCTTCAGTCAGAAATCTCCTCACCTTCTGAAATACAAACGTTTTTCAGCCAGGTGGTTAAATCTCCCATGGTTTTTAGAGAAATATCAAAGTGAAATGAGAACCTCTAAGTATGAATGGAACAATGGACTATTATCACCTAGCATTTAAAAAAAGCATATTCTTTGGTGGGGGAGGGAATGTAACTGAACATTTTTCCTCTTTGAAACTTTACAAACTTTTCACATATACCACATTGTAGTTCTTAGAGTTTTATTCATATTTGAATCACCTAGCTATTTTTAGTTCTATGGAGATATCATTTCAAATTTTGAAATGATATTTTCATAAACATGTAAAAACATAAAGATTGGAAATAGGTTAAACCAAACAAATCCTTTGAGCACCGCATCTTCCTTGGCCACTAACTGGAGAGGAGTAAAGACTGTGACCTTTTAAAATGGTATGGCTTCATTCTCCCAATCTACTACTTGTATAGACATATGTTGATAAAATGCATGCAAAGTAGAAAACTGATTAATCTTATTAAAATAAAGTGATAGACATTTAACAACACAAAAATAGGTTATAAATGGTCTATGCTTTTCACTTAGAAATAGTGTGTTAAGATGGCAGTTATTTAATAAGAGATGCTATATGTAGTGATTTGGATCTAAGATGTAGGGGAAAAAATCTAATCACCTTTCATATATGGATAGAATGGATTTGGAATTTAATATGCAGAATTATTCATTTTATACAGGAAGAGAAACTGGAGTCTCATTTACAAAACCTGTCCACTCTCATGGCACCAACGTACAAGAAACTTGCACCCGATGCATATAATAATCAGGTAAGTTTAAACAATTATTAACACTTATTGAGACACTTTACTTACTCATTATTGATGACCTGTCTTTCCAGAAATATTTTTAAAGCAATGCTTTTCATTTATGTAACTTTTTCTCTTCCTAGTTGTTGAAGCCACTGTAGTGTTCTGTTTTTGATATATGAAAATTATACCATCCCAAAGAGCATATTTCTGGTCTTTTAATCTGTAAAGATAAAAGTTTTTAAGGCTCACAAGCTGTTTTACTTACTAATCTTGTTCTCATGATAATTTTATCTCTATAGACAGGCTTTAGTGGTTAATTAAATTATATAGTTCCAACCACTTGTTAACTGTTTTCATAGCAAGTCTATACATATAAAGCTATGGGTGTACCACTTTGTAAATGTATATACATGTGATGAGATATATTAGATTTTGCTAGTTTCCCCCTATTTTCTAAGTGTGTGCCAGGTTCTGCCTATCTGGAAGTCTTGGTGATTTGTTTAGAGATGCTCATGAAGGAGGCAAAAGACCATGAAGTCTACATGGTTTCAATAAACTCCTTCTTTAGAGGAGAAATGTAAAATGCCAACTATAGAATAAAATGATAACAGCTGAGACAGAGGTATGCACACATTTCTGAAGGAAAAAAAGCTTCTCCCTGAGTAGAGGAGAGCTATAAGGTCATAAATGGCCTTGGAGGCCATACAAAGATCTTTGAACTTTAAAATCCTGTAGACAAGAGAAGAGACCTATCACTGGGGTGTTCTAAGTGTATATTGGGGTGTGTTCTAAGTGTATATTGGGGGCAGTAAGGGTGAAGTGGTTTAACTCTGTAAGGTTGAAAGTGAAAGTGTGAGTTGCTCAGTTGTGTCTGACTCTTTGCAACCCCATGGACTGTAGCCCACCAGGCTCCTCTGTCCACGGGATTCCCCAGGCAAGAATACTGGAGTGGGTTGCCATGCCCTCCTCCAGGGGATCTTTCTGACCCAGGGATCGAACCAGGTCTCCCACACTGCCGGCAGATTTTTTACTGTCTGAGCCACCAGGGAAGTGGTGAGAGTGAAATGTTTTAACTCTATAAGGCTACTCAAGCCAAATAAATGAAATACAGCCTAGATTAGTGGAAGAATAGAGAAGTAAACTGTTGCAGTCATTGGGCAAGACATGTTAAGGTCCTAATTTAACAAAATAGCAGCAGTGATAAAATGAAATAAATATATGAAATATTTGAGGTGGAACTGATAGTGACCAATTGGATTTGAGGATGAGCAAAAGAGAATTTGAGGATCCACCAAATTTGGGTCCTCAAATTCTCTTTTGCTCATCCTCAAATCCAATTGGTCACTATCAGTTCCACCTCAAATATTTCATAAATTTCTGGTTTAGGTGGCTATTAATTCCTAATTAGTATTAGGAATCAGTGAAGAAAATTAAGTTTGGAGGAGATAAGGAGAAGACGATAAATGTCATTTTGGACATGCTAGAGTTGACATATTTCTAGGATAATTAGAAAAACAATATGAAAAAAGTCCAAGTTAGCACTGTGGGAATTATCAAAATGCAGGAAATAGTTAGTAGTAAATGCAACTTTTCATATAAAGATGAGAAGTGGCTAACGATGTTGACATTTAACAGTTTAGGGGTGAGTGGAGGAAGAGAAACCATTGAAGAAAGGGCTGGGGGAGGGGCAGGAACAGTGGAATAGGAGAGGTTAAATATTTAAGTGGAAGAGGAAGACTGATGGATGGGGGAAAGCTGGAAGTGATGAGAAGGTATTCACTCAGAGTATGCAGCAGCAGGGATATGAGGAAGTGTGAAGGGCAACATTTTTGCAACCATTGTTATTTGCAATACTTAACAATGTTAAAAACTCTAAGGGGACTAGATTGGTCTACACAGCAGAGACAGGGGACCCAATTCTAATTAACAATGTAGCTATGCTTTAACACAGGGACTTCAATATTTTCCTCAAACCCCAATTCACTTTTTTTTTTTTAAGTAGCAAAGAGGGCAACTTTAATGATTGTCTCTTTATAAGTTGTTTTATGTAACACCTAGATTTTTAGAGATATATATGTGACTGTCTATGAAAATTATTTTAAATGCGGTTAATAACAGTGGGATTAATATTGTTATTTTACAACCTTACCTGTTTTAATCAGTGTCACAAACCATTATAAGGAATGGTTTGATACTGTTGTAAAACAGCTCTGGGTAAGCAACACAATAAATCAAGCTATAAAAAGAAAATGAATTGAGTCTATACTGCTAGATTTCAAGTTTGGCCATTTTCTGTTGAATGAATTTTTTATAGGGGTTATTAATCAAGTGGATTTAACTGAGGAATGGGACAAAACAACAAGCATTGATGTTCACCTTACTCCTTTCATTCTTACTCTAGACTGTATCATACAAACTTGATTATCTAAGCATCTATATTCTCTATTTGTGTTTGGAGTATTTTATGCATTTCCTAAACCTGGAATATCTAAAATATGAAGGAGCTTCAGATTTTTAAGTTTTAACAACATGATTATGATTATATATAATTCCTTAGATGTGTTTTAATATTTGTATATGAGCAAATGTGTAGATGTACTATGGGCTTCCCTGGTAGCTCCGTGGTAAAGAATCTGCTTGCCAATGCAGGAGATCCAGATTTGATCCCTAGGTCAGGAAGATCCCCTGAAGACTTGGCAACCCACTCCAGTATTCTTGCTTGGGAAATTCCATGGTCAAGGGAGCCTAACCACTTGGCATAAAGTTTTGGTTAAGTATGATCAATAATGTCTGGAGATCCACTGTATAATTGTACCTATAATCAACAAATTTACATTTAAACATTTTCTAAAATTGTAGCTCGCATGTTGTGTTCTTACCACCATAAAATACATACATACATTTATACGTTAAAAAATAGATGTAATGTCTATATAAACTAAATCAACTAATGGCTAAGAATGAATAAGGTGTTTTTTTAAATTTCATGGGAGGTACTATTGGAAATATTTATCCATATGTCTTAACATGGTTTAGAGATCTGAAAAACAACCATGTGATCATTTCCTATAGAATATGTAAAACATAAAAGTTATGGATGCTTCCAAGGTCTGTTATTTGGTCTTTGCTTCCTTTTCCCCAGCTGAATATAATACCTTTATTTCTCACATATGCATGTTTTTGCTTGCTTTAGTCCTTGATTTCATAAAATCTTATTACTAAAGTTAAGCTTCCTTGGGTCTTCACAGCATTTCTTCTGTCAGCTCCATGATATTAGAATATATTTATTTAATTTAAATACATCTTCATATCTGCCAGTAGATTTGTATTTCTCTGTCTTTTCTATGATTATCTTACCACTAAAGTTTATGCCTGAATTAGCAGACTTAAATCTTAAAATCATGTTATTTCATCATGTGTGGAGATGACATTTTAGATCAAGAGAACTTTCTATGACAGTGGAAATATTTCCTGTTTACACTGTTTAGAATGGTAGTTACTGAATACTTGATAAGTGGATAGTGCAATTGATTTAATGAAATTTTCATTTTAATTAATTTAAATTGCCACATGTGGCTGCTAGCTACCAAATTGAACAGCACAGCTTTACACCATCAGAAAGTCATCCACTTAGAATTGTCTTCCAGACAGATTAATTTCCAGTAATTCATTCACAGACCCCTGCATGGTGTTTCTTATAAGATGACATAAGTCTAAAAACCAACTAGATTTTGTATCATTTTTATTCAAGGAACAGAATAAAGCAAACTAGACCACAGCATGGACTAAATAGTCACAAACCACTGGTTTGTGAAATATAGTGGTTGTTTACCTTTAACCAGTCTCTCAAAAATGCTGTAAAAACCTAATAGTAAATAATATTCAAGCCAAAACAAACTTTATTATGTTATGACTTCAGCTTCTAGCCATGGTAGATTAACAGAAACTGATTTACTTTCACACATTTAAAAAAAAGAAAAAATACATAAAACAGTAGTTTTTAGATATAAGACAATAAGAAACTCAAGATACTATCACTAGAGAGAAGGGAATTTAAAAAGGTAAACTTACAATTACCTCAACTTGCTTCCTAAAGAGCACATTAGGCTTCAGGCAGGAAGGAGGGACCTACACAGACCCCACGATTTTCTCTGTGTTAGGATAAGAAGTTCAGAATTTGGTAAAAGTGCTGGAATTCACAATTCAGAGTCCCAAAGAGGAGAATGCTTCATTGAGAAGAGCTCCAGAAATCTGTAGAGTCTTCAGCTGTGTACTAAATGTTGCACACATGTGAAGAGATTACCAGGGAAAGAACGGAAAGAATCATCAAAAGAAACAGGCAAAACAATCCTTTGATTTTATGCAGGACTTGGAATAGTTATTGTTAATACCATCCAGAAGGAAAAGACACCCTAACAGGACAGATATTAAATACAGTATTTAGAATTTTCTGGCCTTGGTAACAGAAGTAGATTAGGCTGTTCTGGTTCCACCTAATAATATTTAAAAGTAAGACTTGAAAGGATCAAACTGATGAGAACAAACTTAATGGGGGTGGGGGGTGGTCTTCCCAGATGGCGCAGTGGCAAAGAAACCGTCTGCCAGCATAGGAGATGCAAGAGATGTGGGTTCGATCCCTGGGTCAGGTAGATCCCCTGGAGGAGGGCATGGCAACCCACTCCAGTGTTCTTGCCTGGGAAATTCCATGGACAGAGGAGCCTGGCGGGCTCTAGTCCATGGGGGTCACAAAGAGTCAGACACGACTGAGTACACACACACAACAGCATCTCAGAACAAAAAAAAATTTTTTAGATAGAATTAATAGTGTCTGGTAACTCAACAAAAATTATCAGGTATACAAAGAAATTAGAAAACATGACCCATAATTGGGGGGGGGGTGGTGCTTGGGTAGGGAGCAATCAACAGAAATAGTTCCAGAAATGACATATGATAGGAATATATTGACAAGGGCATTAAATCACTAATATTTCATTTGCTCAAGACAATAGAGGAAAGTA